TTCATCTATAAGAAACTTTTGAACACCAAAGCATCTAAAAGAGCTAATGAAAGTACATTAATAAACATATTTTTTATTTAAACTATAATGCACTTACTTTGGAGGTATATCCATTAATGGTAGTTCACCTTGACTAATTTTAGAAAGAAGATCAAGGCCAGAGTCTTTATATGATGGAATGAAATTGTAGTCTGTTGCCTTGATGCATTTCTTCCAATCCTTCTTCTTGGCCTCGTCTTGATGACGGCATGTTAGTTTTTGGAGAACATCTCTAGTAGAGCGATGAGTTGATCTAACTGAAGCAGCTGAGGTTGCATGCATTAAACAAGCAGCCAAAATTGTAGCAGTGAATATAAGGGAGAAAGTTGACATTTTAAATTTGATATGTTTCTTTCTAGTTTATTTTGTAGGATTAATATTTTTGATGAAAGCATGGCCTGGTGAGCATGCTTATATAGCATTATCAGCTTGTTATTTTTCAGCCCACTCATTTCCTAGATTTATTGCTAAAAGCAGGAAAGCCCCCTAGAATTATGTCATGCTTCCTTTCAGAAGTTTACATCTTTGTTATGTTATACAAACACATGCTCCACAATGTTATTGCATTTCTATATTCAGTATACTGGTAGCTGAATGCATGTACAAGTAGTTGTGTGTCCATGTGTTTAGTTTCTTAAACAAACTGTATATTCATGCATTGATTCATTAAACTACTAAACAATGGCATTGTTTTCATTACTGTGTTAACATTATTCAAGGTGTACCTGTGACAAAAAATTTTCTTGAAATGCAAAACATTTATACAAATTTAAAAATTATTATTATTATATTTTTTATTACATGTATTATAAGGTTCTAGTTTATTCATATTATAGTCCAGATCCTTCCAGATCTTCATCATCTTCATCTTCTTCTTGGCATTCAAACTGAAGTTTAAACCCAGCACCTTGTGTTGCATCTTTTTCACTCAAGAATAGAACAAAGAAATTAGATGATTTTATATTAAGTGATTGTTCAATGCCATTTCCAGTGATTGATTCATATATTGTTTGATTCTCTCGGACAATGATTTCAACCGAATCTCCTTCAGCTAGATCTATTTCAGATGATTCTCGAGACAAGAAAACGCGTTTACCTTTGCAAGGCATTTGTACATGATAAACACATATCTCATTTCTTGAATAGTTGCTACAACCATAGCGTGGTGATTTAAGCACTGAGATACCTCGTCTCTCAGTGAATGCATTGTTGAGGAGATCATTGCCAACTGCACATCCATTCTTCTCTTTAGGATTATATAACTTGCAAACTGCTGGACATTTAGGCACTGCAACACTAGCATCAGAAGCATACCTCATAACAGCAAAACATTTAAAAGAGCTGCAAGAATAAATAATATTATGGTCACTTGCATTATAAAATGAATATAAATATACTTACTTTGGTGGTATGTCCATTACTGGTATCTTGTTATCCTTGAGTTTATGTGGAAGATCGAGAGGACGGCCTTTAAGTGAAGAAATTATATGATTTTTATTTGGCATAATGCATTTCTTCCACATTTTTTTCGCAGCTACATCTTGATGCCGACAAGTCAGCTTTTCTAGTATCGAGATTGCTGGTGCAGTGTTCGTTACATGTATTAGACATGCTAGCAGTATTGCAGCACTGATTGCGAGTGAGAAGGTGCTTGACATCTTGATTCCTGAGTGTATTGGTCTACTGGTTAGTGATGATTGCTTTTGTTTTAGTTCCTGTTGTAACTAGTTGTTTGACTCGCTATGGCTTCTTCACTTGGTTATATACACATAACCACCCACGTAAAATAACTGTCACGTATTAATTATTAATGAGGTAGGCGTGGCTTAGACACTATCGCACTTTTGGTGAAAAAATGGCGACTATCGAAGATGGACAAGAACAGTCAAAAAGAGACAGGGCATTCCTTGGCCAATTGCCCGATGACTTTCTCCGTGTGGAAGAAGTCCCACGTAGTGAACAACGAACTAGCAGCCATCAAAGGCACGTAAAAACAATATTTTGGCCATTGTTTTGAATAATGCATTGTCATCTCAATGTAGGGACCATCCCCATTTAGTACCCATGACGTACAGTCCACAACAGCTCGGATACAGGCATGGGGATGGTAGCCACGTAGGAAAATTGAAAGTTACAATATTGCAGGTAAATAATAGAACAGTTTTGTTGTCGATAATAATTATTTTATTTATTATTATACTTATGTAACGTCAATATGAAAACAATGATTTATGGCATCTAAAAAAAGAACAGATTTATTAAAAATAATGATAAAATATATTGCCTTTATGTTGAATCCTATAAAATAATTTTAGCTGTAATTTTGTTCTGTGACATTTATGTTCACACTTACCACGTGAGACTGTTGACACCTATTGATCAGTATCATTTCTCACTGTCGTCACTTTTAGGAGGATAGTGACATTTCCATGTTAATTGTGTCTGTCATATATATTTATTGTTGTCCCTGTCACCTCTTCTACTCACTCTCCCCCCCTCTCTCTCTCTCTCTCTCTCTCTTCCCAGGCTAAATTAGCTAAGAACTATGGCCTTACACGTATGGATCCTTACTGTCGCGTGAGGATTGGCCATGCTGTCTATGAGACCCCAACTGACATCAATGGGTCAAAGAACCCACGCTGGAACAAGACCTTCTCTGTGTATGTTATTAAACCACTGTGTACATATACATGAAGCCATACGATCACACACACACACACACTATCTCTTATTTTAATCTCTCTATAGTAATCTTCCTCGTGGTGTTACCAGTGTTTATGTTGAGATATTTAATGAGGTTAGCTGGTTTGTAAATGAGTGGTTTATTTATCTGTTTGACTGAGGATGTGAGGGATGTGTTACTTATTGAGTCTTCCTTATTGCTATCAGGATACTCTACACTGTTTTGGTTACTCTTTCTTTTCCTATTTCCTCTGCTCTCCCCTTTTCTCTTCCCACTATTTCTGGTCTCTCTCCCACTATTTTTGATCTCTCTCTCTCTTATATTTATCTTCTCTTTCTATGTGCAGCGTTACCTATCACTGGATGATCGTATAGCTTGGGGCTATTACGAATTACCTACTGATGTGTTCAATGGTGAGACAGTTGAGGAGTGGATACCTCTTACTGGGAAGCAAGGAGATGAGAAAGAAGGGAACATTAATTTCATCTTCTCCCTTTCAGTAAGTCTTAAAGCATAATAACCATTCAAGAACTTTTCTTTATAATTGTTTCATTATTTTTATTCAATTTTATATGCATGTAGTATTAGTAATGATACACGTATATTACATAGATCAGTACATGTAGCATTATTTTTGTTTTTTTTCTTTAGCCACTGCACCAGTTGGTATCCTCAGGAGGTGTTCCCTACCAGCAGCAGCCAGCACAGTATCCTCCTGGTTTCATGCCACAGCAACCTCAGACTCAGTTCCAAGGCTCTCCTGTTGGATATTATCCTCCTACTCCTCTCATGATGCAGCCACAGCAACAGCCAACTGGTATGTAATCCTCATTGATAGCTTACTGTTATCATTATGATGACTGCTTTGCATTGTTCACATACTCAATGCTTGTTTCCCCTTGTTGAAAAAAGTAGCTGATAATGATTGTGTGTATATAATCACACAATCACACACACACACACACACACACACACACACACACACACACACACACACACACACACACAAATTAGCTTCACTGTTAAAGAACTACATGTACATGTATATACCTGTCACTCTAGTCAAAATATTGTGTGTATGTATGCATGTGTCTTCATTTGTATACTACATTAATAGTATAATGTATTGTTCATTAGCTGTTCAAGCTCCTTCAAGGCCCCCAGTGACAGATGAGGATGTTAGGCAAATGAAAGAAATGTTTCCTACAGTTGATAATGAAGTGGTCAAGTCCGTCCTTGAAGCAACCGGTGGTAATAAGGATCAAGCTGTTACCAACCTATTGAGTATGACTACTGAATAACTCCAATATTGTTAGGCAGTGTTACTGCAGTACTAATGTATAATTGACTGAATGAGTTTATCTCAATGTCTGTGTGTGTGTGTGCCATTAATTATACTTTGTAGCTTCATTGTAATAGGAATTGTTTTGGTGTCTTAATTAACTGTGTACTAAGACTGCTTAATCATTGTTATTAAATTTATGCTGTTTTCATTAATAAATGTTAATTAATGTTTGTTATTATTATTATTATTGATGTCAGAATTATTACCGAATACGTCAGGGTTTGTTGAAAGAGAGGTTTCCGTTTGTTTGAACAACATTCAGTTCCAATGTATTGATACGCTTGCTCCCTCCGATATCCTTGAGGTGTTATTATTATTGTGATGGTTTATTTTTGTTAGTATGTTATCTTTTCACTTTTCTTGTTATAATGCATACATATACAATAATACAGGATTTGCTACATCACTCTTTCATGTTGTTATGTGTCGTTATTTTTGTCCCTTACGTATTGGACTCCTCTTGGGTTTCTTTTGAAAGTGTGTTCTAAGTTAGTGTACGTGACATGTTGAAATGAAAACCTGCCATGTGTTTCAGAGAATGGACTCAACTGTAACGGTTGTAATAGCAAACAAAGTTAATTAATATACCACTGAATGTTAATGCAAAATACTTAATAGTATCATGATTAGTTACTGGATGTGGTGTTACTGTTACATATAATACTTTTCAAGTATATGAATGAGCATGTAGAAATTAAATTTCAATTAGTTAATTGTGCAAGCATATTTTGTTTAAAATAATTCATTTCTTTAGTGAATGGTGATATCATTATGTATCTCACAAATACTTTTTACTCATTTTTGAGAGGCAATAATACCCTTTGGGGAAGCACAGACTATCACAACAATGATGTACTATTAAAATGTTAACAATATTCATCAATGCTTCAAACTAACATAAGCAAATATAACAGCCCAGGTGTGAGTAAACTAATGTTTGCCTCATGAGATGATGTCACCTATATGCATTGTAGTAGAATAGGGACAGGAGATTAGATACACATGTGTCCTATTGTGCAATAAATGTTTTTAAGCTACTAGTTTTGGTGTTAAGAATGTGTAGGGCTCTATAGTGTAAGAAGTCCCTTACTCACTAAGAAATTCTAGCCAGTCTGTATTTACTATTATCAGCAGGAATCAATTATTATCCTCCTACACCAGCACTCATCTAAATTAGTATACACACACACACACCCTGATTGATAATGATGCCGGATGTAAATAGAATTATCATTAATTTGTCACTCACTGGCATTATAAGGTTTTAAAAAACTCCTTGCCTACGCAAAGCGTTGACGGGACTAATGACACATTAGTTGGCTGGTGGGCAGGACTTGTGTGAGTCCTTACTCTGTCTCTTAATGTCAATAATGTGTCTACACATGTTCACAGTAGCTAATTGTAATTATTAAACAATATTAGTGAATGAATAAAGTCATGATTTCATTTTTTGGTATGATTGTGTGTCAAATTATTTAGTTTAATGATGTCATCATTAATTCCTTTTTCTCTTTAATGTTCATGCAGCACGCTAAAATTTCTCCAAAAATTACTAAGAGAGAATTCTCTATTTTTATAATTTTTTGATACATATACATGTTCTTATGTTGTGTGTCAAGTTTAACTGATCCCAATCAAAATTGGATTTTTAGAAAATTTTTAGACCAATGTCCCTGTACAGTACAGTGTCTTTCGCCAAATTTTGCCAAAAATGACTAGGAGAAAATTTTTTTTTAATTTTTATAAATTTTTCTAATACATACTTTTTTAATACTGTGTATCAAGTTTAAGCTGATTTTTATCAAGTTTAGATTCTTTTGCCAATTTTAAAAGTTACTTAAAAACCAGACCAAAGTCCTGTACTATAAGCATAGGAGCTCGTTTTTCCGGTATAGTAAGGCTGCAAAAGTCATGGCAGCCATATTGTTTTGGGGTGAATCCTACTTAGTAACGCTACTGCATTACTAATAGCACAGAGTCTTCAACCCACCAATCACAAAAAATTCAACCTGCCAATCATCAAAAATTTAGCAAATTGCAAAAATGTGACCCCTCCAAATTACCAGCTTTACAGTGCATATTATAATCCCCTGATTTTGAGATAAAAAAATTCCCTCAAAAATTTTGCACCAACTTGTAATTTTGCTCTGACTGCTGCATATTTTCTCATGTGGGTGTGCCCACACTTCCTTTAAACTCTCACACACATGTATTCACATGGGAAGCAATTATTTATTAGAATCAATTAAATCAGAGTAGCAATCAATACATATTGTATATTGTCACTTGGTACAGACTACACAAGTAATTGGTCTTCTGTTAACATATGGAGGACAGGGTAGACCAACACAGGTTGACAAAGTGAAGAAAAGCATAGCACTATGAGCACTGGCACCACTACCATCAACAGATTCAACGTTTTCATCAACACACTCATAGACTGCATTTCTTTTGTGAGCATCTCTTTCAGCCATCAGATATCCTCTGTATTCCATAGTCCATGATGAAGGACAGCTGGTTCTAGCAGGAATCATCAGTTTAACACTCTTAGTAGATGTATAACATACTGCACAAGGAGCATTGTGCTGATCTCTGCCAGTAAATATACCATTAGACCATTCATATTCAGTACCATACATGAAACCACTATAAGGTGGTGTATGAGAACTTAAGTATTGGGGATCCTTATGCAAACAGACATAGTTGGCACCACCTCCAGGGCTGTTATATGCTTCTCCTCCAGTTATTCCCTCATACAGTAGTTCAGCTCCAGCAGGACAGGACTTCCTTCCCCAACGAGTGTACACTACTCCTCCACACTTAGGACCAGTTGCTCCTACAGGTCCAGTATCACCTTTTTCTCCTTTCTCTCCCTTATCTCCTCTCTCTCCTTTCACTCCATCTCTTCCTGGTACTCCATCACGACCATCTCTACCACGTAAAATCTGAAGATATACTAATCTGACAAGAGTGTCATTAACTTTCTCTTCAGTAACCAGTGAAGGTGATTCTAAAGGAGGGTATACACCATTATATAAATTATAAAACTCAATAATATTTATGGTATTTATACCTCCACTGGATGTAACTGTACTCAAAGCAGCAGTTGCCAGGAGTACAAATATAGCCAAGAAATGCATTATATCAGCAAGCTAGGAGCAGCAAGACGATCGACTGACTGACTTACTCTGACAGATGCATTTCTTTTATAGCTGTAGAAAAGCTTTTGCCATCTGATCTCCAGGTGCCTCTTTTACTCAGTAAAATACACCTCCATCTGTGTATTATAATGTATACTGGCATATAGAGAAAAGAGGTGTTCTCTTAATCTCTTTGCTTTTTATCACTATAGGATATGGGCATGACATTTTATATGATTGTGAGTAACTGATCTAAGCCCATCTTGAAGTTTCCGACAAATATAATTTATACAGTTATAGAATATCATGTACTTTACATGATAAAGTTTACTCTTGACGCATACCAATAGTATTTAAGCTGAAACATAGTGTACGATTGATGTGGCAGTAGATTTTAGCTACCACTTTATTTTTGTAGCAAAAAACTTTTTGTGAAAATTTAATTTTGTGATTTCCTGCAAATGGGAAAAAAGTAATAAATAATTTGCTGAACAAAATTTGTAAAAATTAATGTTTAAATCCCCAAGAACATAAATAGTATGCAGTGTTTATGGGCATATTAGTAAATGTAAATCTTACAATAATGTTTCAGCATAAATTGCTCTGCTACAGCTGGTGACATGTAGAAACATGATATTTTAAAGCTGCATATAATTACAATCATATAAGATGTCATACACCCATATCTTATTGTGATAAAGAGCTAGCAAAAAGATTAAGAGTACACCTCTTTTCTCTATATACCAGTACACATTATAATACACAAACGGAGGCGTCTTAAATTGTTAGACGAGTTTGAATAAAAAATCTATGCATGTCTCCCTGCTCCATTTGTCCTTACTCAACTTTGCCTTACTCACTAAGAAATTCTAGCCAGTCTGTATTTACTATTATCAGCAGGAATCAATTATTATCCTCCTACACAAGCACTCATCTTCATTACTATACACACACCCACTCACACACACACGATGACTGGGATGTAGATCTATATTTTTATAAACAGAATTATCATTAATTTAAAATTGTAAAAAATTCCTTGCCTACACGAAGCTAATAATACATTAGCCAACTGGTAGGCAGGATTTATTTTATTTGATGCATAGACATGTTCTTATGTTATGTGTCAAGTTTAAGCAGATTCTGATAAAAATTAGATTTTTACCAATTTTTAAAGTTACTCAAAAATCGCTGTACTATAGTAAGCTTAGAGGTTTTTGTCAAAAATGACTAGGAGAAAATTTTCTATTTTTTAATTTTTCTGATGCACATACATGTTCCTATGTTGTACTGCATTTTCAATATTATTATGTATAAAATGACGGATCATCTTAGCCCATGCAATCCACTCAAAATTTCTTCATAGCTAGCATAAGAGCACAATATTGACCTCTTTGCACTTACACACTTTGTGTATTCATGTGTGAACAGCAAATTATTTTATTATAAAATCAGAATAACAAATCAGGCAGTATTTTTAGTGTCACTTGGTACAGACTACACAAGTAATTGGCACATTGTTCACATATGGAGGACAGGGTAGACCGTTACAGGTTGACAAAGTAAGGAAAATTGTAGCACCATTAACATCAGCTTGACTGCCATTTATAAATTCAGCACTTTCATCAACACACTCATAGACAGATTTTGCATGGTGAGAGCTTCTTTCAGCCATCAGATATCCTTTATATTCTCTAGTCCATGATGAAGGACAGCTGGTTCTAGCAGGAATCATCAGTTTAACACTCTTAGTAGATGTATAACATACTGCACAAGGAACGTTGTGCTGTTCTGTTCCTGGAAATATACCATTAGTCCATTCATATTCAGTACCATACATGTAATTAGCTAAATTAGTATGCTTATAAGTAGTACTCATATATTGAGGAACCTTTGGTAAACAGACATAGTTGGCACCACCTCCAGGATGATCGTAGTAACTACCTCCAGTTATTCCCTCATACAGCAGTTCAGCTCCAGTAGGACAGGACTTCCTTCCCCAACGAGTGTACACTACTCCTCCACTTTTAGGACCAGTTGCTCCTACAGGTCCAGTTTCACCTTTCTCTCCTTTCTCTCCCTTATCTCCTCTCTCTCCTTTCACTCCATCTCTTCCTGTTAGTCCATCACGACCATCTCTACCACGTAATATTTGTAGATAAACCTCCTTCACATTGGTTTCATTAATGTATCGTTTGCTTGTTGACATAGATGATGGCCCTTTGTAAAATATTAATCAAATGTAATTATAACCAATGATTTACCTTGGATTGTATTCTCATTAGTAGCTACAATAATAGAGAGAGTAGTCAGTATAGGAACAAGCAATATTATGAGGTTCATTTTTCCTTATCATTTCAATGTACACTAGCTGCTGCACTATATTTTATAGCTTGAGTATATCTTTGTTTTAGTTGGCATTGTCAGATCCTTTTGTATGGATCAGTTACAACAATAGTCGGCTAGTGGGCAGGACTTATGCGACCTCTTACTCTGCCTCTTAATGTGTCTACACATGTTCGTATAATAGTGAACAATAGTAGTAAATAAATAAAGTTATAATTTTATTTTTTGGTACGCATGATTGAATTCATTCAAGTTTACTTGTTTAATCGCTCAGATTAGTATGTTAATTCAATGAAAATAAATTTAATGAAAAAACTTAGAAATGAAAATAATGCCAAATGAAAATACATTAAGTATAGCCACACATGCATACTTTCACACATATGTGTTATCTTGTGTGCAAGGAAGCAATATTATTTATTACAATCAGCAAACTAATTAAGCAATCAGAATCAATAATGTTACTTGGTACAGACTACACAAGTAATTGGTCTTCTGTTAACAAATGGAGGACAGGGTAGACCAACACAGGTTGACAAAGTAAAGAAAAAAGTAGCACCAATATTATTGGTGTGACTGCCATCAATAGATTCAGCATTTTCATCAACACACTCATAGACTGCATTTCTTTTGTGAGCATCTCTTTCAGCCATCAGGTATCCTCTGTATTCCATAGTCCATGATGAAGGACAGCTGGTTCTAGCAGGAATCATCAGTTTAACACTCTTAGTAGATGTATAGCATACTGCACAAGGGACATCGTGGCCATGTTTCCCAGGAAATATACCATTAGACCATTCATATTCGGTACCGTACATAAAACTACTATAAGGTGGTGTATGAGAACTTAAGTATTGGGGATCCTTATGCAAGCAGACATAGTTGGCACCACCTCCAGGGCTGTTATTTGATTCACCTCCAGTTATTCCCTCATACAGTAGTTCAGCTCCAGTAGGACAGGACTTCCTTCCCCAACGAGTGTACACAACTCCTCCACACTTAGGACCAGCTGGTCCAACAGGTCCAGTTTCACCTTTCTCTCCTTTCTCTCCCTTATCTCCTCTCTCTCCTTTCACTCCATCTCTTCCTGGTACTCCATCACGACCATCTCTACCACGTAAAATCTGAAGATATACTAATTTGACAAGAGTGTCATTAACTTTCTCTTCATTAACCAGTGAAAGTGCTTCTACAGCAGAATATACACCATTATATAAAATTCAATGATATTTATTGTACCCACCTTCATTGGATGTAACTGCACTGAAAGTAGCAGTTGCCAAGAGTATAAATATAGCCAAGAAATGCATTATATCAGCAAGCTAGGAGCAGCAAGATGATCGACTGACTAACTTACACTGACAGATGCATTTCTTTTATAGCTGTAGAAAAGCTTTTGCCATCTGATCTCACAGGTGCCTCTTTTACTCAGTGAAATACACCTCCATCTGTGTATTATAACATATACTGGCATATAGAGAAAAGAGGTGTTCTCTTAATCCTTTTGCTCTTTATTGGGACATGACCTTATGTCATTATGTGTAACTGATCAGTATAGTTCAATTTGAACTATCGAACTATACAGATCAGTTATACACACAATGATATAAGGTCCTGTTCAGTGTTTTCTGCCAAATACTAATATAATATAATACAGGTATAAAATATTATGTCTTGATCTATCTAGCACCCACACAAACAAGATTTACCATACACTTATTTATTATGATTATTTTATCTTTGGATATAATTTTTAGTTGTTTGAATGAAAATTAAGTTTATTTCTGTCTTACTGCCATATTTAGCCTGTCTCTTAATTGTGTCTACACATATTTCTGATAATAATGAACAATACTATAGCATATCTATGAGATGAGTCATAATAGTACTATTTTTAGTATCATGATTCAATTCATGAACACTCTTCAGTTAATGTCACTAAATTATATCATCATTAAATGGCTTCGTTAATAATAACACCATTAACATATCCAGTCTTACAAAACATCCTTTGTTCTTTCTTTTTGATACAACAACACTGAACTCGCATGACATTACATTATTAGTAATTATATATAGAAACCTCTGGTACATGGAGTTAACAGAAGTATTTAAGTTCATCGTTGGGCAGAACTCTTCTTAGTGACAGCGATACATGTCAAGCGTGAACAATGAACATAATAAACTAGTTTCAGTTGACTAAACATTAAATCATTACACATTCAGCAAAGTAACTATTAGTAAATTAATATGTTATACAATAAAACATCATCTTGTTTGTAGTTAATACATAATATGATGACAGAGATAGAGAGAGTAATGTTGTACATGAAAATACAAGTTTCTATTCAATCCTCATCAGTTATGGTGACCTTAAGTTCACCAGTAGGAGGACCAATGGTCTCCTATGAAGAAAATGAAGAAGCATCATCATAAAACATAGTCTTGAGGAATAAAAATCTCTCCCACTTTTGGTAACTAAGATCACTCCTCCCTCTCTCTTCCTCTCTCTTTAAAGGCAGATTTACAATATAACACTAGTCCTGACGTTATGTTGACGCTAGAGTTGAATCTGGTTCAACTCCAGCATGAAGCATGTGTCAAAATGTCAAATTGCCTACGCTTTTGATTAAAAATTGATGGTATGTTGGCATAATGTAATATTGCAAATCCGCCTTAACTAACTTTTGTCATTCCTCCTTGTTGCTCCACCCATTGCTGGATCCCCGAGTCCCTCAGGTAAGTATTGGCAAATCCCTGCATTTGGTTCTCTCTCATTCCTCCTATCTCCTCTTGCTGTACCCTCAATTCTCCAACTAGCCTACCAGCAACTGTATACACTACACTGACTTGCTCCCAACCATTTTTCACTGCGTCCTAAAAGAAAAAGATACTAAAAAAGGAAAGAAAAAATAATAACGTACATGGCATCTACTAAAAACTCCTTGTAGTGTGCCCCTGAACTGACTGTAACCAACTTCCCATATTGACTGATTGTCGTAAAGGCCTTTAAGCGCCATGTTTACTTCTGACTTTAGTCTTGCATCAATTTCATCCCCTATCATCTTGAGTTTTTCAGCAACCTGTGAGAGAGAAGGAGAAGAACAAAGAGATAGAAGCAAGATGATAGATGACATAATAACATAATACATGTACTGATGTGTGTACATGTGATAAGCCTTATCTCTGCTGCCACTGTAATAATTAATAATTATTACTGATTAACAGTCAAGCACTAGTTTGGTACAGTATTTCGTGTTTACTACAAAATATATGAAATTGTGGTATTACTTATGTCAACTTATGGCATACAAACAAACCATTTTTGTGTTTGCGGGTTATTTTGTGGTTCTTTATCACTTAAGCGACATATAAATCACCATCACCCCAATCAGTCAAAATTTTATTAGAATTTAGCCTACGTATGTACGTGTACGCTGCTCCAAATAAAGCCCACTCCTTTACCTCAAGTGCCACTTGATTCTGTGTCAAACTAACAATCTCTTCCGGTGACTCTCGAACTAATGGCTTCATATCACTCCTCGCAGCCCCTGGGCTTCTAGTACCAATGGTGCCTTCTTTCTTCATCTCGTCCATTAGAAAGAGCTCAATGAAAGATACAGTAACTACTTTGGTGAAGTCATTCAGATCCCCGTTCTCTTGAGCAGGAGCTGTTGTAGTCCCTTCTTTGACTAATAGTTGAGACATCGTGATACAGTTTAGAAGATGTTGTCTCTTTCTAGCTAGTCCTTGTTGTGATTAATCAGCAAATTACCGTCAGAGTATAATGTTCCCTGCCTGCAAGCTCAGCCCTAACCTGCTGCTGCAGCAAAAAAGGTGTGGCTAGTTAATTATGCGTTACCCGGACGGTTGTAATTAATGCGCATGCGCAAAAGGCGGGGTAAACTGGGTGTGGCTATAAACAACAATGGCTGCTTTTTTGAGGACGAGAACAGTTCTAACTCGTTTCTCCTCTTTTCAGTCTTTTACATCAAGTATGTATTTATCAAATAATAATGAGTGAATTTATTAATATTATGTTTTTTAAGTTCGTTCTGCTGCTACCTGGTGGCGGTCTGGAAAGAAGTCACAGATAGAAGAGGATCCTGAGAAACTAGCTGCTGCAATAGACCCTGGCCTCAGGCTAGGAGACTACCCTGTGCTACCATGGCGTTCAGCACAAGAGAATGCACCCTATGGCTGGTGGGATAATCAGGACCGGAGAGACAAGGAGACACCAGTATGTAATGAACATTACATTTAATACATTAATTGTAAATATTGTACAACTGGGAATGTTGATATCAGAACAATGGGGGCAATTTATAGTCTGTGTAGAAAGTCTGAGCTATTTCCAATCAAATCAAATTATTTATGAGTTTTAATTCCTAAAAAAACTGGGTCAAAGGACCCTGTACAGGGTCATTGGCCAAATTTTTGTCAAAAACAACTGATAGAGAATTCTCAATTTTTATAATTTTTTCTAAGACGTATACATGTTCTTATGTTGTGTAGAAAGTTTGAGCGGACTCCAATCAAAATTGTATTTTTTTACGAATTGTTAAAGTTGCTAAATAATTGAACCAAAGTCCCTGTGCTATAGTGCAGGGTTTTTGGCCAAGTTTCGCCAAAAATGACGTGGAAAGAATTATGAATTTTTATAATTTTTCTGATACATATACATGTTCTAATGCTGTCTAGAAAGTTTGAACTGATTTCAATCAAAATTAGATTTTTTAATGATTTTTTAAAGTTGCTCAAAAATCAGGTCAAAGTCCCTGTGCTATAGTACAGGGTCATTAGTCAAATCTTGTCAAAGATGACTAGGAGAGAATTTTTCATTTTTATTAAATTTTCTGATACATATACATGTTCTAATGCTGTGTATCAAGTTTGAACTGATTTCGATCGAAATTAGATTTTTTATGATTTTTAAAAGTTGCTAAAAAATCAGGTCAAAGTCCCTGTGCTATAGTACAGGGTCATTAGTCAAATCTTGTCAAAAATGACTAGGACAGAATTTTTCATTTTTATTAAATTTTCTGATACATGTACATGTTCTAATGCTGTGTATCAAGTTTGAACTGATTTCGATCAAAATTGGATTTTTTATGACTTTTTAAAGTACTCAAAAATTTAGCCAAAGGTCATTCGCTAAATTTTTGTCAAAAATTACTAGGAAAGAATTCTTTATTTTTATTACATTTAATGATGTGTATGTTCTTATCATGTGTATCAAATTTGAGCTGATTTTGATCAAGATTGGATTTATATGACATTTTAAAAAATCAGGCCAAAGTCCAATGGAACTAATGGGTTTTTGCTTGTCACAGATTTTGTGACAATGGAACAAATACATGTAGGTTTTTGCTCGTCACAAAATTTGGCCACCCTGTATTTTTTGACCAAATTTTGTCACAAATGAAAAGGAAGGGATTGTCTATTTTTATAATTTTTTCTGATGCATGTACACATGTTTTTATGCTGTTAAAAAAGTTTGTGCTGATTTTGATGCAAAATGGACTTTTTTTAAGCTGTAAAAATCAGGCTAAAGATTTTGTACTAAAATACAGCTAAGTTTTGTCAATAATGACTAAGAGAATTTATTACATTTTTCTGTATATACATGTAATATATGTTGTTATGATACACATAAGTAAAAAGTTTGAATCGATTCCATTCTTAAATATTTGCCATTTTTGCAAAACTGCTTATCTGCCAGTGTTAATCCTAATCCTCATCAATGTTTCCTACCATGCACTCACAGACCAATTCTTTTCACAATTTTATTTTAAATTTAATCTCTTCCAATTTATCACAGTAATGATAGACTTGTATTTCTTTTTTTCTTATTTTCCAGTTGCATGAGGAAGATGATGCTCTTAATGTGTGGATGTATGATGCTGTAGAAGCTAATGGAAAATACACTCGCGGGCAAGCACTGGCTCATTTAATGATAATGTTCAGCTTACTGGGAGGATTGTTTTATCTCTCAGTCTTGTATGATGCTCCTTCAAGGAATCCAGCTGTAAGAAGAGGGAGAGAGAGAGAGAGAGAGAGAGAGAGAGGGAGAGGGAGAGGGAAAGAGAGAGAGAGGAGGGATTCTACTTATAATTATTTGTAACTAAATCTATTAGTTCTAGCTACATTCAAATACATGCAGGCTCACAGATTAATTGAATAAATGTCCTTATACTGTATAGTTGATAATTTTGATAACCAACTTGCAATTTTGAACCATTATGCACATGCTCAGTGCCATATGACCACAAATTTGCTGAATTACCAGAACATTAGCAATTCACCAAAATTTTGCCCCTCCAAAATTACCAGCATAGTTTGAGCTCATTTTGATAAAGGAGAAGTCAATATTTTAAGTTTATTTTGAAGTGCATGTACATGTACATGTACAATAAATATCATGAGAAAATAAGAGTACATGTAGAACAACAAACTGAGGACACATGCACATACATGTAATTTTATTGCATATTTTATTTTATATTTCTAGGTTCCTCGTCAGTTCCCTTATAATAACTTGTATCTTGAGAGAGGAGGTGATCCTAACAAGGAACCAGATGAAAAGGATCTTACCGCTAGAGTGGCTGAGACTTATGGCGAAATAACTTCATAGAATAGCAACATTCATGAACACTATTGTGCACCATTTAGAATATTATTATGATGATTATTATAATTTAGTGAAGGATTAATTGTTTCTTCGGCTTTCACTTGTATGTGGCATTAATAATGGCATCTGAATCAAAACTTTGTTATTTAAAATTTTTATTAGACTGTTGAGGGTAACAATGCCACTAAGTTTTCCTGACAATTTGAATTAAATAAGATTAATCCATGAGCTTTTATTTACATCTTGTTGATCTACACCTCAAAGTGTTAATAAATTTTGTAAAGGGAGGAGCTTTGAATCATGAACTACATTCATTGTCCTGTGAAGTTTCCTATGTTTAATGATTACTAAGTAATTGAAATAACATTTAAGTTTTTTGCTATATATAATTATTTTTTAAGTGCACGTGCATGTGTGTGTGTGTGGGTGCATTTTGGAATTAAAACAACTATAATAGTCCAATAATGACAACAATAATAATAATAATGATAATAATAATAATAGTGATAAAACATAGGAAGAATCAATAGAAAAATTGAAAGACAGAAAGATCATACAAGAAAGTGGTACAATAATAGACATGACTACTAAAATAGAGAGAGAGAGAGAGAGTGATTTCTGGCAGGATACATCAAAGAGAGCATAAACACAAAACAATTGAGACACAAAAAATTAACAATTCAACGTCATCTTTAGGAGAGTGAGCACATGTGTGCAACATTGCTGTGTTCGATAAGTGAGAGAGAGAGAGAGAGAGAAAAAAAAGCAAGAGAAAGAAATAACAAATCGTTACTAATAATAAATTATGTATAAATTATAATTAGGAGATTATAATTATTAATCACGGCGCTTAAAGGATTGTACACTTTTTCTTGCTCTTGTCCTTTTTCGAGGTGGCGGGTTTCTGGAACCTCCTTATTGCTCGGACAAGATCGTGGAATGCTTTGTCAACATGTACTCTGTGTTTAGCACTGGCCTCTACATAACCAATCTGAGGAAAGGAGAGAGAGAGAGAGAGAGAGAGAGAGAGAGAGAGAGAGAGAAGGTCAAAATAAATAAAGATAAAAAAGAAAGAAGGGAAGAGATTGAGAAGAAACAGGATAAAAGAAAAAGTATAAATCTAATATACTATTAGCTGGAATGTACAATCAAGTGATTAATAAATAATTGTCAAGTGACATACTAATTACTACAGACTTATCCTCTACTTTACTTAATGTTTGTTTACGATAAGTTAATCCCACAAGTACAAGCAACAAGCATGAATGTACATATACATACACATTCATGTATACACGTCCATATGCTATAAAAATCATAACTCATGGATTTCACATATGCATGTACATGTACATGTAATACACACAAACATTTATATACATGTAGATAGTGTATTAATTATAGTCCAATTCCTAGCAATGAAGATAAAAAGTGTCAACCTCTATATACAAACACTGACCGCATACATAGCAATTAAGCAACCGCCCACGCACATAAACACAGACAGATAAAGCCAAACAATAAATTGAGGTGCAAGTGAATCATACTTTAACATGGAGTAAGTGACATATACACTATGCATATATTATATATCAATGTGTATAATTCTAATGAACAATAATAGCTCAACTGTGAAATCTTTGAAACAAAAACATGAAAAGCTTCAACCACAACTAGCTACATGTACACATACATTTACATGTACAGTGTGTGTGATTCAAGGATGGTGAAATACATGTACATGCATGTGCTATGGCACTATCTATTAATTAATTTGGTGTGGTTTGCTCACTTTAAGAGTCTTAGCTAATTCTTCTCCTTCTTGATAGGATACAACTCTATCGGTTTCCAGATCAGCTTTATTAGCTACTAATATCATTGGAAACTCTGACCTGGGGAGAAGAGAGAGAGAGAGAGAAGAAAGAGCAAGTAAATACACTTGTATGTCTACACACATATACAATAAATGTGTAGCTATGTAGTGGAAGCTATACAGATCACTCAATGATACAAACAAGCACTATTCACACATTATTGCAATTCACACAATAATAAATATAATATAATAATAATAATAGTAATAATAATAGTGTAATGGATTGTACATGAAACTCTAACATATACCATGTAGAGAGTCATACACAAGAATCAAATTGTACAGATATGGTGAGTAACATACTTGTCTTTCACTCTAAGTATCTGCTTGTGGAACTTTGGGATCTCGTCGAAGCTATTTCTATCAATAATAGAATATACAAGTAGAAACCCTTCACCAGTGTGCATGTACTGCTCTCTCATTGCACTAAACTCCTATCAGAGAGAGAGAGAGAGAGAGAGAGAGAGAGAGAGAGAGAGAGAGATGCCCACATATTACACACATCAGAGAAAACCACATGCTTAATGCTGTACCTCTTGTCCAGCTGTGTCCAAAACTGATTAGAAGAGAGAGAACAGAGAGAGAAAGAGAGAGAGAGAGGTGGCAAAGAGAAAGAAAAGAGAACAAAGGAAGCAGAGAGAAGCGTTAACAAATTGATAGCAAATATTAAATTGTTACCCTCTCTCATTCCCCTCCCCTTTTAACATGACTACTACATTAAGCTCGCTCATCCAATTATAATCGCCAACATGCTCTATATCTCTTACTATCTAATACTGCTACTTCATCATCAATGACACACTGCTTGCGGTACGAGTCTTCAATGGTGGGATCATATTCCTCAACAAAATGACTCTAATAAAGAGACAGAGAGAGAAAGAAAGAGATATGATGATACAGAAAGGACAGAAAGATAAAAAAAAAAGTAAAGCAAACAGGAACATTTATGAAACCAAACCTGAATAAATTGTATAGTGAGTGCAGACTTTCCTACACCTCCCCCACCAACGACGACCAGCTTATACTCGGTCAGTTCCTTGTTTGTAGCCATTACAGACTGATCCTACAGCGAGAGAGAGAGAGCCGGAAAGGTAGAGGAAAAAGGATAGAAATAGTGATATTCATGGGACGTTACAATGGTGAGAGAAAAGGTGAAGCCGAGCGGGAGGGCTTACCTAAATCTTCTTTGACGATGCTGTGATTTGTTGATAAGCTAAGTCCTGCTTCTCCTCAGGGTATCTCTGTGTAAATGAACCTCTTATCTCTCTCTTTGTGGCCTGCCCACTTGACTGTGTATGCCCTCTCTGTGTTGTGTATCTATGATTTATTTATAGTATCAGGAACTGTTACTATTTATAGATCAACCTACACACCGGCAATGAATGTCATTAAGTTTACTTAATCAACACTCCGCAAATTCATCAATGCCTTTTAGCCATCAGAGCACCAATTAAAATCATTATAAAGATATACCAGTCAGTCATAATGGACTACAATGAATTTTTAAAAATAATATAACTTTGCAAAATGAAATATTTGGGAACCAAAATCAGGCAACTAAGGTATGAATGTCACTCAGTTAGTGATGTGACCTCTTGGGGTCTGGGAGTAGATGAGAGGAGACATCATGTGACCTCTTGTAGGTCGAAGCTCCCCCTGGAGGAGCCATGGAGGTATGGAACTCTGTCGTTGGATGGGGAGACTCAGTGAAATGTATTGAATGATTAGTGGAATTGTTAACCTGCACAAAATTAAGACAAAGAATAACATACACTGTACATAGATAGTACATCAATAGACAATTTGACATAAAACCACATCAGACATAATGCCCCAATAGATAAAACTGTACTACTATACTGAACTACTAGATGATACTGTACTACTAACTATCATCTACTCTTGCTATCTCTCATTAAATAAAATACTACTGCTAGTACTAGCTCCCACATTTAGCAGTTTCAATTTGTTTACGATTCAGTGCATATATGTACTCCAAGGATTAATCTTGGTAAAAGAATAGCAAACAGATCCACAAAGTTACAAATCATTATGTAAGACAGGCCATACTAGTCTGTGTATAATCACTGCAGAGTTTATAAACATACCTCAGATATTGAGGTGTGAAACTTGGTAGAAGGATCATCCTGTGAAGTAACAAACTTTTCATTACTTTCTGTTGCTTTCTCTCCTTCGCCATCTTTCATCTTTAACAGCTAGAGAGAGAGTGCATATAGACACAAATTAAAAATAAAATCTACTCTCTCTCGTTGTACACTGTTCAGTATTAAACACTAGTTTACTAGTTTACATGCAATAGTAGCTATGTAGCATCAACAGCAATATTGCATTTTAACACATCATAAGGAATGCACACTAACACAACACATTACTTCTATGCAATCTGACATCATTTGTAAAATAGTACAGTAGCTATTCTATATTGGGTGCCTTATTTTGGTGATTAGCCCATAAAAATGGATTTGGCAGTTTCAAATTTGGCAAAGAGGCAATATTTAATGCATAAACTACAATATAACAGCTATAGCCCATTAATATATAACACTGTCAGTAGTACTTGTAATTGTTTCTGATAAAAAAAAACTTCTTCTAAACCACAATAGATTGATCCACACATCACTGATGCATATTTAAGACTCACTTCTCTGTCTATGGCGGAAAACTGCCACTCCCACTTTGTGTTGTAGAGGAACTGGCGCAGGTCGTATCTGTTGTCATCGGGAGAGTAGCTTTCGGCGTGATATGAGGGAGTTATTATCGTCATTTTATGACGATTGATGGAATAGACACGAAAGAAACGCTTCACTTTATCGGCAATCTACACGCATACAAAAATACATGAACATGTAATAATAGAAAAAACATGTAATAATAGTAATAGTAACAGTAGTAGTTATGACAATGTACCGTATTTTTATAATTTTTATTATTGTAGAATAAAATCAGTGGCCATATGTTAAGTACAAATTGAGCTACATGCATTTGTATTATGAAATTACTATACAGGATTGTGTACAATGTGTACAGTATATAAAATATTACTATTGCTAAAATTACTAACTTCCCTCAACTATAATACACATGACAGTGAAGCTAAGAAGTAGGTAATACAGTAATGATGAAATTAACATCAATCAATCAGTACAATACATGTACACGTATACATGTACATGTACATGCAGGTGTAGATGAACACAATTGACATGTGTATACCTCTTGTGGTGGGTATTTCCTTTTCCATAAGTCCAAGAGTTTAATAAACATACTGTAAGGGCCACACTGCTGTGACTTACGCAATCGACCGATATCAGATAATTCATCATACGTGAGACCCATGTCCTCCTTTAGAGAGAAAGAGAGAGAGAAAGAGAGAGAGAGAGAGAGAGGGAGAGAGAGAGAGAGAGGGAGAGAGAGAGAGAGAGAGAGAGAGAAAGAAAGAGAGAGGAGAAAATAAGAAAGAAAAATAATAAGAGGTCAAGTACATGTAAGTAATAACGAAAAAGGAGCTACCAATTAGCAAAAGAAAAACGGTATTTTTTCAATGTACATGTAGACATGTGCATTATGCATATACTAATGTGTGAAATGGGGCATGATACCTCATCAGTTTGATTGTGCTGCTCAGTGATTGGCTCCAGCTCTGCTGTTGGAGGAGCCTCCAATATTCTAAAGGCAAACAAAAGATAATAATAATAATAATAACAACACTAGCATACATGTACATACATGTAGCATGATTGGATGATTATGATACATTCCCCATAATTAGTATAAAGATTAATTTAATATGCAATACAATTAAAGGAGTATTGTTGGGTCTAGAGAGACAGGATTAAAGGCTTCACTTTACATTATACCCTCTCTATCTCATTACACTAAAATTTGCAAACACTCATAACACTACAGACTGTTGATTATACAATAATAAAAAATTAGCAACAAGAATTACAGGTGCACAACTTGGATCATAACAAAAATGTGGACAAAAAATTACAACAATTTCAACGATTTACATGAACGTGTACAAGACGAGTAGAAGGTACTGTACCCTTTAAAAGTGCTAAGGAAACTTCCTCTTTCATATGCATTAAACTAACAGATGGTTATTGAAACGAATATTATCTATAAAAACAAGCAATTGATAATAATGCAACAGGTAGAGGAGGAAGTGGATGGAGATTAGCCAAACTATTATTATCTTCCTATAAAAAATATTATATTTTTAGTCAGAAATGCTTAAAATTAAAAATAATCTAATCAAGCAACATGTCAGTGGGCAGTTGTGTAAACCACTGCCAACCATCAACCAAAAACCAAAAACCTCAAACGAAATAAATGTACATGTACATGTACAATTTTATACATGTAGAGATAAATGAATGCTGTTGTGATGGTGAGTCGACCAAAAGTGTACATAGGTGTTGGAATTTAAGTAAAATGGTCTGTGCAATTACAAGTACAACTATATACATGTAAAAACTTGAGCATATTTCCATTCTAATGATTCTACACAGTATAGCTACAGAGCCTAGTGTGAACATGCATATACATGTACTAGCTGTTATACAAAAAATTCCAAGTATTGATAACCAGTTTTAAAGAAGCATGCATATATAAACAGTCAGGATTTTCCATAAGATTTGGCATTCGGCTCATGTGGGCTATTGTCAGTAGGTTTTAAAGTTGCTCCAAAATTTGACAAAATACAATACACTACATAGGGTATTTTTTTTAATCATTGTGAGAGAATTTTATAATTCAAAAAATGTACATGTACTTATGTCGTGCAGAAAGTTTAAGCTGATTCTGATTAAAATTGTATTTTTTTACAAATTTTAAAAGTTGCTCTAAAAATGGACTAAAGTCCCTGTGACCCTGTACTATAGTACAGGGTCACAAGCCAAATTTTGCCAAAAATGAAAAGAAGAGAATTCTCTATTTTTATAATTCTTCCTGATACATATACATGTTCTTATGTTGTGTAGCAAGTTTGAGCTGATTTCAATCAACTTTGGATTTTTTTGCAAATTTTTAAAGTTGTTCCAAAATCGGACCAAAGTCCCTGTACTATAGTACAGGGTCACGAGCCAAATTTTGCCAAAAATGACTAGGAGAAAATCTTTCATTTTTATAATTTTTCCTAATATGTATACATGTTCTTATGTTGTGTAGCAAGTTTGAGCTTAATCCGACCACAATTGAATTTTTTATGAATTTTTAAAGTAGCTCCAAAAGCCATGTACATGCATACATGCATGTACTATTGTAGTGCCTTTTAGCTCACTTAGCATGCTTTGTGGGAAAAACTGCAAACAATATAATAATGTATAGAAAAATAATAAATTATGCGTAGATATATAAATATATGATTCAGGTAGTAGCACGACTTACTCCTTCAGTGCTGGGTACTTTTGATACGACATGAACTTGCAGAATCCTCTCAAATCAGTTTTACTAATCCCACCAATGGGGTTAATGTCAGCACTGGAACAATCATACTTTGTAAAATAACCAAATAAACTACGAGAGAGAGAGAGAGGGAGAGGGAGGGAGGGAGGGAGAGAGGGAGGGAGGGAGGAAGGGAGAGAGAGAGGGAGGGAGAGAAAAGGAAGGGGAAAAATAGAATGCAATAAATAGAAAGCTATAATTTATTATAATTTAACTTACCTTTCATCAACATTGGCTGAACCAAGGACTAATAGATTACCATCTTTTCCTCTTGTCCACGAAACCAGTTGACTAAACAAGTAAGACATGACCATTCTATTACGAGCCTGTAATTAACACACAAAACATCTCCCAAAAATACTAAAAAATCAAAATTTTACAATAAATGTAAATACCTTTAAACATTACACATGCACAATGTATAATTTAAAAAGATACAATTATATTTTTTAATTAGTACAAATGTATTAATTTTATATTCAACCTGAACGTTTTGTAGTGCAATGTTTTCAGCGTGAGTCCCTCCATATACTTTATATCTGGGCACTACGCCAGTAACGCCTTCAAAAACTGATAAATGAGCTTTCACTATGTCATCTATAGACAGCACGATGTGATTACTACAAGGAATAGAAAAAAAATTAATAGTTTATACAACAACATAGACTAGCCACTCTGTCTCATGCAGTTCTTGTCCAAATAGCACATGTGTATAGTGTACTGTCTTTTCTCTATCTCTTATATCTTATTTTCTGCTCCCTTTCTCACCTTCCTATCTGCTCTGCTAGTTTCTGAGCTCTTCCTCTTGTCTCTTGAGAAGAATTACTCGATGACATATAACAAGTTGTAAATATCATGCTACAGGAATAAGAATTTAAAATAATAAAAAGTAATAATAATAATAATAGAAAAAATTCAAAACAACACATAAATGTATGTGTATAGTTATACACCAACACATTCTCATCCCATCTCTTATTACAAGTCTCCCTTCCCACCTTTTTCTTGTACCGCATCTCTCACTGATAGAAATCTAATACATGCATGTACATTTATTGCCAAAAAGCTAATTACTGTATCTTCTGATAAGATATATAAACTGATGGTCAATAATGATAAGAAACAAAAACAAGTATTCAGTAAGCGATGTAATTGTAATAACTATATAGTAGGAGCTCATCTGTAGCTCAAGTCTCTGTGTACCAGTAGCCATGGACCCATGGTAGAGTGCCATTAACTTACAACTCACTTTGCCATTTCTTTACCATTGGAAGGCATTGGATCATTCTCTTTTAAATATAATAGAGTCCGAACCTCTTCTATCATCCTGCCATCTTTAGTGAAAAAAAGAAATTAAAAAATTAAAATAAAATACATAAAAGAAACACAAGTAAATACAAGTATAAGAAACACAAGTATTATACATGCCACATAGTACACACGTACCTCCTTTGTGACATTTGTCCATTACAAGGTCGCACATCGATCCAACAAGACAAGCGGTCGATGAGCTGTCAATACCACCACTCAACGGCAAAAAGAAACCAGCCATACCACTCCGTCTCAAATAATCCCACAACCAACAGGCTGGACCTGAATAGTATCAAGAACATAGGAAAAAATACTGTATTTCCTTAGATAAGGGCCTAGGCATTTATTACTTAACAAAGACAAAAATCACAAAAAATTTTTAAAAAATGCCAAAACCCAGGCTTGAACCTGTGACTCTAAGTTCTGAAGACTGAGGATGAACAATTAGACTATTTGGGCCACTCTATACGAAGGTGTACATAATACTGGGATAAATATGCGTGTCTATAATGATACTATATTAGTGACAGGCGCTTATTTGAGTAGGGAGGGCCCTATTCGAGGAAATACGGTAACTATTTTGTGTAATGGAAATGTAAGCAATTACAATCACATTCATTATCAAAGTTTCATTTCAATTACCAAACATAATCTCTTCTTCAGGCATGAAATACTGCAATCTGATTGGTCGCGATATTGCGTGGTTTGAAGTACAAACGCTAATAGGGAGATGGCAGTGTGGGTAGGGAGCTGCCTTTGATGCCTGAGGTCCTCTACTGCCAATTGATCCTCTGAATGAGACCACATCATCAAGATCAGCAGTGGCAATGGTGACTTCAACATCATCCAATGTGAACTGAGAGCCCTGGGCTATGAATGTATCATTGAGGGATACCAGACAGCAACCGTCAAAGTATAACCTATCACCATCACAACCTAAAAAAAGAGGGGAGAGGGAGAGAGAGAGAGAGAGTGAGAGAAATTAAAGAAAACAGAAAAGGAGAAGGCGGTGAAGGTTAGAAATAAAGCAGTCAAAAAGAAGGGAAATGGAGGAAACAAGAATAATGTATGCTACATGCAGCATGAAAAGAAGAAAGAGAAAGGAAGACTAATAACTTGAATTACATAATTGTTTACTAATGAAGCAATTTCTCAGGAACTTTGCCCCATTATTAGATCACAGCCAATACTATGTACAGCATTGTACCATGGTTGTACATGTACATGTACGTGCATATACACATGTACATGTACTATTTACCTAATAAATTAGCATAGGCATACACTCCACCACATTTAGCAGTAGCAGACTGGATCACGTTGACCCTCTTGTACAACTTCCTCAATTCGAAATGAGAGCCTGATCCATTCATGAATACTTCCACTCCGTGGAGTGACATTGGTATGTGTGGGCTCTGACCAGTAAAGAGCTCCTCACATATTTCAATGCCAATAAGAGTATCCAAAGTACTAAGGACAGCATCTCCTATAACAGTGGTCACCTACAATATGTAGTATGAAGGTAATGTAAGCTTAATGTTTGTATTATGTTAGGCAAATTTGTATTTAAGATCAAAGCTTTTACTATGTATGTGATGCTGTTTTTTAAAGCTAAGATCTAGTCTGTTATTATACTAATTTACATGTAGATGAGGGCTATCATTCTAAACCAACCTGTCCTGTGATATCAGTGATAATGGATGGCAGAATAAACTCCTCAGTGGTTCTAGAGAAAGAGAGAGAGAGGGAGAGAGTGAGTGAGTGAGAGAGGGAGAGAGTGAGTGAGTGAGAGAGAGAGAGAGGAAGGATGATAAAGAAAGAAAACAAACAAAACATATCAAACAGAAGACACAAAAGCTCTCTCTCTCTCTCTTACTCACCTTGTTTTAGTCCAGGGAGTGAACCATCTCTGCTCCCTGTAGTTACCATCCATAGCAAGGAAAGTCTTTGGACGTATCAGTACAATGTTAGTATTATGAATGATGACACGACAATTATACCGTACACCATGATGCAGGACTGGCCTATGATAATATCAAACAAAGTACATGAACAATTGAACATTATAAAAATGTTACATGACTTAATTATAAAATTTGAACACTCTTACGTACATGTACATGTATTGCTTAATGATTAGAGGCACAAATTTTGAAAACTCAAAAAGTTATCATTAATCATTACTATTATTATTAATTATTATTATTATTATTTACATTCCGAAGTCACAGATGAGTCCTTCAGTGTCGGAGGATTTAATGAGTTCAGCTATCACTTCCCATGAATGAGTCACTGTATCATTCTCAAGGAAATGATCACCACACCCATAACCTCTAATAAATAATATTAAAATTAATCATTAATAATGTAATGTGTTTATTAATATTACGGTATTTCAAGCTCCGGTCCAAGACGATATGCTGCCCCTCCCTCTTTTGCTTTAGCACAACCTAAAAATAATTATTACATAATTTAATAATTATTTTTGTTAATTTTTATAACTTTTTAGTATTCTTTCCAAATTTCCTTTAAAGTCCATAGACCATTGATTAAGAGCACAGCAGGCAATGGTTAGCTTTCTGCCCATTTCTGAGGAGAAAAATGAAATGAATCAAATGATCACACTTAACTAATATACGGAAATGCAGTATTTGCTCACAGAGCTCAGTAAACCTAGCTACTTTCAGTAATCTTTAGTGTACGGATTTCAGGGCATAAAACCCCGCCCTTTCACGCATGCGCACTGATTCAAGGCGGGCCAGGCTAAGTTTCAAAAAGTACACGGAGCTAAACCACTCCCTCTAATAAAAACGAATGTGACGATACTCCGTATACTCTTAGTGCCCTGCCACGTTTTTCATCCATTGTTCCTTGCAGAGAGATAAGGAGGTTCTATTAAAGATGGGAGAGCAGCCTTGTTACACAATAATCCATCCAGGGGAACACTTCAGCCCTCCTAATGAACAGCAACTCAAACATGACCTTGGTGAGTTGAATAAGCCACACCCATTAATTACACTACATCTAATTCGTGTATATATATATATATATATATATATATATATATATATATAATACTATATATGTATATATGTCTGATTAGTTAAATATTATATATTACCACATTATGTGTATTTGCAGATCGAAAGAGCTAATTATAGTTCATTTTAAATTATGACGAAATTAAATTCTCAAATTATATAATTAATGACAAATTATTATTATTATGCTTGTTATTTTATATGCAGATTTCCCTCAAAAATTAATTGTAATGTAGAGACTGTGCTCTAGTTAATACTTCTTTTCTTCTCCAGAGCACGGAGACAATAAGATAAAAGCCCAGACACTAAAGACAATAATAATGATGATACTGAACGGAGATAGACTGCCCAACCTCCTAATGACAATCATTCGATTCACTCTCCCGTCTAACGATCACGCTATTAAGAAGCTCCTCCTTATTGTGTGGGAGGTGTGGCCTAAGACCACGCCCGATGGGAAGCTGCTGCACGAGATGATACTTGTGTGTGATGCTTATCGGAAAGTAAGGAAATATTGTATAAGGGGTTTTTTGAGGGTTGCAAATTTCACGAATTTTGCGGATTCCTTCCTGATTTGTGAAGATAAAATTCGCGAAAATCAATTTAATACGGTCCCTACATGGCACACGTGGTAGAATTTGCGAAAATAAAATCCATGAATTGGAATTTTAGTAGATTTCATGAAATATAATTCTCTCGAAAATACAGTACATGTACATGCATATTTATATTTTTTTGTTTTCTCTAGGATCTACAGCATCCTAATGAGTTTGTTAGGGGATCTACTCTTCGGTTTCTTTGTAAACTGAAAGAGCCCGAGCTTCTTGAGCCTCTCATGCCATCCATTAGGAACTGTCTTGAGCATCGTCACGGCTATGTACGGAGGAATGCAGTCCTGGCCATTTACACAATATACAAGTGAGTGATGATGAACTGTTGATGAATGTCCAATAGAATGTGTGTGAACTTGAATTTGATCCTCAGTAGTGTACATTGTAATTTAGAAGGGCTGATCCTATTGCTGTAATAGTCTATTATTATTATTATTATTATTATTATTATTATTATTATAAGCATACATGTATTGGTACCTTCTTTCTGGGAAATATTTCTCATAAGAGACTAGATTTCCCTCAATTTTCCACCTGTTAATCTCATGTAATTATGCATGTATTGTGTACAGAACTACATGTAGTACAGATTGTGTAATACATACATGTTAACATGTACATGTACATATGTACTGTATATGTATGTGCATGTACCAATCCAGTTCCACATTGTTCATTGTGACTATGTAGTCTTTTGTAATTGTTTTTGCTTAGTCTAAATAAACTAAACAATTGAATCATGTTTCATTATATTTCCCTTGTATTATTGAAATAAATACCATTTTGCTGAACTTTAACTTTTACATGTAAACATTATGCTTTTCTATGTACATGCATTAATGCATTAACTAATAATTGTAGGAACTTTGAGCAGCTGATCCCAGATGCACCAGAACTGATCCAGTCATTCCTTGAAGGAGAGCAGGATCCATCATGCAAGAGGAATGCCTTTATGATGTTGATACATGTTGATAGGGTAAGAGAGAGGGAGAGAGAGGGGGGGAGAGGGAGGGAGAGAGAGAGGGAGGGGAGAGGGAGGGAGGGAAAGAGAGGGGGGAGAGGCTGTCATATTGCACTGTCTTCATAAGCTGTGACTGTGTTTGTTTGATAGGATCGTGCGTTGGATTATTTGACTGGTTGTATTGATCAAGTGAGTGACTTTAATGACATACTCCAACTTGTCATAGTGGAGCTGGTCTACAAGGTAATGCCCAAATAATGTCCTATTGTTAATACAGGTATCTATATTCTTCTTTAATAAGGTCTGTTATGCTAACCCCAATGAGAGGCCTAGGTTCATTAGGTGTATTTATAATCTTCTCAATTCAACATCAGCTGCTGTTCGTTATGAAGCTGCCGGGACACTAGTCACACTCTCATCATCACCCACAGCTATCAAGGTACTCGTGATTCTGATATTGATTTGATACTGATTTGAATTGTGTTAATTTTTTGTTGATTTTAATAGGCAGCTGCTCAGTGTTACATTGAACTGATAGTCAAGGAAAGTGATAATAATGTGAAGCTGATTGTCCTTGATAGATGGACTGCTCTGAAGGAATTCTCAACCCACAGGAAAGTACTTGAGGTAATACCATTATTATTAGGAATTTAGTGCGTGTGTATTATTAATTTATTATTCTTATTTTATTATATTCTGTTAGGATCTAGTGATGGATATATTAAGAGTTCTGTCAATGGCTGACCTTGAGGTTAGGAAGAAAACCCTTGAACTAGTTCTGGACCTTATAACATCAAAGAATATCGATGAGGTACATATATGTCACTGATTTACAATATACACTCATTTTGTGTCATTCATTTCTCCTACAGGTTGTTATGATATTGAAGAAGGAGGTTACCTCCAGTAGTGGCAATGGTGAGGGAGGGAGAGGAGGGGATGAAGCTGACGTCTCTAGCTACAGACAGGCTCTCGTTAGGACACTTCATGCCTGCTCTGTCAAGTTTGCTACAGTAGCACCTTCTGTTGTACCACTGGTAAACCCCCCCCCCTCTCTCTCTCTCTGTTTCTCTCTTTCTTTTTGTACATGTACAATCCATCTCTAATTCTCTATTTATGCATGCACATTGTACATGTACATGTACATGTATGGTACATAACATGTATTTGCTATTTCTTTAGTTACTTCTGCTTATTTCTTTTTCTCCTAAAATGTTGTCATACATGCATATTTTAAGATTAACATTTTGCTTTCTCTCTCTCTCTATTTTCTTCTCTCAGTTGTTGGAGTTTTTGTGTGACAGTGATGACAAGACTGCCGAGAGTGTTCTTGTGTTTGTTCGTGAGGCAGTCGAGCGTTCTCCCGACCTCAAGCCAGCGATTGTGTCTCGCCTCCTTGATATATTTAGCACTATACAGTCGGTGGAGGTTCATCGTAGCACCCTGTGGATACTGGGAGAGTATTGCACTGACATGACTGATATTACTAAACTGGTCGCTGCTATAAGGACTTCACTAGGAGAGGTGACTATTGCATGACTGTACTATGCTATCATTCATTCATGATGACTATTTTAAAGCAACTTCAGCAATTTCTAAAAAATCCAGACTTGATTGGAATCAGCTCAAAATTTCTACACAATATAAGTGCATGTATAAACATGTACATGTACATCAGAAAACTTAATCAAAACTAGAAATTCTTTTGATGAATTTGTTGGACTTTAATTGTAATTAGCCCATGGTTTTTTCTAAAAATCATCTCTGAAATCACCTCAATTTTTTATTACATTTTCTGATAAATATTGTTGTCCTAATGCTATGTGGAAAGTTTGAGCCAATTCCGACTTCAATTTTTTGAGTTATGGTCATTTTTTTGAACTCCAAATTTTGGAAAAATACCCTGTACTATAGCCCATGGTTTTTTCCAAAAATTGGCTCCAAAATCACCCCCAATTTTTATTACATTTTCTGATGCATATTGATGTCCTAATACTATGTAGAAAGCTTGAGCCAATTCTGACTCCAACGTTTCAAGTTATGGCCATTCCAAAATTTGGAAAAATACCCTCTACAGGGTATTTGGCCTAATTTTGGGGCAACTTTAATATTTTTTTCAAAAAATTCAATTTTGATTTGAATCAGTTTAAATTTTGCACAAGATAAGAATATGTATATATACATCAGAAAATGTAATAAAAACTGGAATTTCTCTCCTACTCATTTTTGACGAAAATTGGCCTACTGATCCTGTACTGTAGTAGGCTCTCTCATGCCTCCCTTTCCAATTATTATGAAGCCTTTCTCCTCCCCTTCCCTCACTAGATACCAATAGTAGATTCAGAGATTAGGAAGCAGGCTGGAGAAGATGAGGAAGGATCTTTTGATGATGATGACAAGTCAAAGTCCTCGCGTCTAGTGACAGCTGACGGTACTTACATATCCCAGAGTGCACTGAGCACAGCTGCTGTTAAGAAAGATGAAAAGATGTGAGTATATTAAAAGAGAGATAATTTTTATTAGTTATTAATTTTTTTCTTTTTTTTATAGTCCTCCATTGCGTGGTTATTTGTTGGACGGTAATTTCTTTATTTCAGGGGTACTTGCTGGTACACTCACTAAATTAGCTATTCGTTATCTTGACCAGCAAACTGAACCAAGGAGTTGCAATGTAACCATGCACTGATTATCCTATTACAAATAATTATGATAAAATAATAATTTGAATTTTATTGCTAATTTACATAGTATAAGTACACATTTATATAGTTTATGCTAATAATTGATGTACTGTATTGTGGGAAATTTTGGAGGGGCTAAAATTTGGCAGATTGCTAAACTTTGGTGGATTTTTAATTTGGTGAATTTGTGGCTACGTGCCATTGAGCATGCATGTAACGACTCAAAATTGCTGATTTTTATTTTGGTGAATGGCTATCAAAACGCCAAATTTAATCTGTTCCAAAATTTCCCGCTATACGGTAGTTTTAAAATCTTTTATTTAATTCCTGTCATATATTATATTATTATGTATTGCACTATGTAGGCATTTGTTGCTGAGGCTATGCTAATAATGGCTAGTGTTCTTCACCTGGGTAGATCTGGTATTCCTAAAAAGGTAAATATATGACCAATCATTTGTATACTCCTTCCTCTCTCTCTCTCCCTAGCCTATTACAGAAGATGATAATGAGAGAATATCAACTTGTCTTAAAGTTCTTGCTGAGCGTAATAAATTCATTAATTCTGTTTTTGATGTGAGATCCCGTGAAGCTCTAGCAGCCATGCTATCAGCAAGACAGAACGAGAAAGAAGAAAAAGTAAGAAATAAAACAAACGTCTACATGTACATGGAATTGCTACAAATATACATGCATTGGTGTAGATGAACTCATTCACCAAAATTTAAGTTTCTTTATTGTAATGATGTAATTTATCATCTTTTTTTGTATGGTTACAATGAATAATGAAAGTAATTTTTTGCAATTTCTATAATTATGTATTGTAGATTATTGTCATTGTTAATTAATGGGTGTGGTTAATTGCATAGGAGGAGTCACAGAAAGTGGAGACTCACGCTGATGATGGTATAGTCTATGAGATGCTCTCTGGTAAAGACGATATAGTCGGAGAGAACAAGTTTGATGCTAGCCTGCTACAAGCAACCGGTATCGGTGGAGTTGGTGGCAGCCAGGGACAACAAGGCTCATTAGTGAGTGCTTCAAAACTAAACAAGGTCAGTTTCTGTGTATGATCACAATGAAATATATATACAATGTATAATTGTTATATTTTGACTCCTATACAGCTGTATGTATAAGCTGTACCCCTCTCTTTGTCTTTCAGGTTGTTCAGTTGACTGGTTTCTCTGATCCAGTCTATGCTGAGACATATGTTAATGTGAATCAGTATGATATTGTGCTTGATGTACTTATTGTCAACCAAACTGCCGATACACTACAGGGACTATCACTGGAGCTAGCAACACTAGGTACAGTACATCTTCATGCGTGAGCATTGAAGATTGAATACACATAGTCTTCCGTTAAGAATTTTAGAGTAAATTTGCATGTGTGATTTTTGCATTTTTGACCTCTGTAGGTGACTTAAAGCTTGTTGAAAGGCCTGGATCCGTTACCATTGGTCCTCATGATTTTGTGAATATAAAGGCATCCATTAAAGTCTCATCTACAGAGAATGGAATTATATTTGGAAATATTGGTAAGACAACCAGTCACTCCAGGCCTATTTCTAATAATTAGTATAGTGAACCATCTAACAGACTCATAGTATAAGTTCATCATAGTACATGATATAGATATGCAGTTTCAGTTATAAGGTTGGTTTGGCTGCCTGTACCTGGCTTAGTTCTAGTGTATTGCTCAACTAAAACCCACCATTCAGCTTTGTTGAAAGCAATCTTGTGGCTACTTTGATGTTCTCTCAACTCTGTTGCCTGAAATAGAATTCAGTCCTATTTTCTGTAACAGAGTTGCCATAACTTTAAAGTAACCTTGAAACCCATTAAGTGTTGTACACCTGCATACAGGTGCTTAACCACATCAATACAGTTGACACAGTGAGTCATAACTCTCCAGACATTAGACTATTTTTTAACTATTTTTAATGCTTGTCTTTCTCTTGTAGTGTATGATATAGTTGGATCTACTTCTGATCGTAATTGTGTTATACTCAACAACATCCATATTGATATAATGGATTACATACAACCGGCTAATTGCACTGATAACGAGTTTAGGAAGATGTGGATGGAATTTGAGTGGGAAAATAAGGTAGATTGTGTACTTCATTATTACTACATAAAAGGCCTATAATTCTTTTATATCTTTCATAATTGCTATAGATCAACCTTAATACAAATATCACTGATCTAAATGAGTTCCTGGACCACATATTGGCTAAGACTAATATGAAGTCTTTGACACCAAGACAAGTAAAAGAGAGAAGGAGAGAGGTTACCTTCATACTTTAATCCTAAATTTTGTAGGCATTACTTGGTGATTGTTGTTTCTTGGCTGCTAATTTATATGCTAGGAGTATCTTTGGAGAAGATGCCTTAGCTAATGTTAGCATTGAGAAACCATTTGGATCAGGACCTGAGACACCAGTACAAGGACACGTGAGAATAAGAGCTAAAACACAGGTTAGAGCATAATACATAATAATTATAGATATTGGTATGTACTGTGAATAATCATGATTAGTTCATTGCATTTCAGGGAATGGCTCTTAGTCTTGGTGACAAGATTACGGCGTGTCAGAAGCGTTCCACATCATAGTGGTTGAGAAACTATTTTGAGTGACTCATTCATTGCTTTTAGTTGTTTTGTTTTCATAATAAAATTTAATGTAAAAATTATTGATTTGTTTCAGCAAAGATTGAGTGCACTATAAG